AATTAAAAGCTGTGGTGAGCTTGTCTGAGGCTATCCTTCATTATTTTTTCGTTGATTTTTCAATTAACAATCAATTTCTTTTCTTATTTTTTCCTCTATTTTTTTCTTTATTTATTTTTTCAATTTTATAATTGCCATTATGCACTTAGTGATTTTTCGCATTCATTTCGTTGTGCCGGTTTTTTAATTAGTGGCTTTTGGCTTGTCTTTATGAGCTACTGCGCGCCGCCAAACTGAAGTTGTTGCTTTAATTATATAGATTTTGAATTTTTTTCTTAATTTACAGTGTTTACATAATAAATGATGTCATTTAAAACAATGCAAAAACCATTATTAAATAGTACTAAACTTTTTTATTTTTACGAATATTTTTTTAAACAAATATTTTCGTATATTTATTTTTATAAATATTGTTTTTATAAGTAATATACATTTTATTACATATAATACTTTCTAATTTAATTCATCATAATATTTCGCTTGAGAACGTAATCATGAAATACTTATTAACTACATTTTTATTGCAACCACTTGACCGACTTTTAGAAAATCATAGCGCTGATGGCATGCTTCGACAAGCAGTACGCGCAAACAACAGCAACAAATTTATTTTTATACAAATATTTCGCATCGCACATTGAAACGTCCTCACCATTACCTATTATTCATTCATAAATTACGCTTTCAATTAAAAAATAGAAAAATGCTTTTTGACTATGAGCGCGCCGCGGCTGAGGTTATTAGATTTATTACGCCTTCAACTGTTGATTATTTGTAAACTTGTTCTATGTTTACCCCTGTCATTTTATATTTTTTGCTTCGTCATTTTCAGCGTCAAACGAATTTGCGATACAACTGGCCCAGCAACCTTTGGGGGCTAAGTTCAATGCGTTCAGCATAAAAGTATGACACTTATAGTAATTCACCTGTCATAAAAGTAATTTCGAAAATAGCTTAATTTGTTTTGTCTTAATTTTTTTTTTTGTTTTCTAGAGTTTGACTTGTTTATTTTGAATTAGTAAGCGCTCGTTAAGCCTTTCACTTATTCTGCTTTGTGTGTGTTTCAGTTGCTACTCAAGCACGCAAGGCGGCGATCGTAACGTGCGATAGCGGATTTAATCCACATGCTGTGATCATATGAAAGCAGTAAATTGCTTAGCGTGTAGAGAATTTCGAAAATACATTAAAATCTATAAATACGAGTATATATTTGCTTATACATACATATATGCGAAGGTATAACATTTTTGTTTTGTATTGTACTCAATTTGCTGGAATGCTGACTAGCTATGCAGAAAAGGTTTCTTCAAGCAACAAATTATTTTTATTTTTTATTCGAATTAATCATTTCTCTCTTTTGTATAGACAATTCCGAACAATAGTTTGTGCAGCTTCTAAATAAAAATTCATGCTTGAATTAGAGCTGACGTCAATCATAAGTGACATGTTTACTTTATGTAAACAAACAATGTTTGTTTATTTGCCAAATAAATTGTTGCATTTAAATAAGCCAATACAAACTATATTATGAGCCCCCTTTTTAATTTTAACAAAACTTGTGCAATTTTTGCTTTTTATTTACTACAAAAAAAAAAAAGACAATAAAAATAATAAAATTTAATGATACAAGCGGTCTGATGTTCGAATTTAACCATGACTTCACATGATACGCGTTTGTAACTTTAAATTATTGCATTAAATAAACTAAAATCTCGCAACGCAAAAACAAAAACAAATAAATTAAATTAAGTCCACCACTATTATACAAACAGTTCAATTAAAATCCAAATATACTAAATCGAAACACTTCAAAGCATTTTATGGCGAAAGGCTCACTTGAAGGTCTGCATGCTACAGTTGCTTGAGGTCGAAGCTGCATCAACCAGCGCAATGCACCACTTGTGGCCGGCGATGTGTGACACGTTTTTTCTGCATGCTGGCTTACCAGCTGTGGCGGCGGCCAGTCGTCAAGGGTCCAGCGCTTGTGCAATACATTCTTTTTCATTTCTCGCCTATGTTTTTATGTACTTTATGATTTGTTGCAAAAAAAAAGTTGCTGAATTAATTGCCTGCGCGGCTTTTTCATTTTAGCTTTCTACCGCACCGCTGAGGTGCGTCATGTGTGTGTGTTTGTGCAGCGCCTTTCACCATGCGCTTTCGGTGGAGTGTTGCAACTGTAGCGCCTCTGTTTTTATGACTTTTTCACTTGCGAAACCGCAAGCGTTTACAATGTAGTAATAGCCAGCTGCAGAGATCTAACGGTAATTGTTGCAATTTCGTTTGGTTTTCTAAGTGTAGTATGTGTTCCGCTGGCATGCAGAGGCGTTAAAACGCTTTCGCTTGCATCTCCATGTTTTGCTTCAAGTATTTCTCTGCAGTTAGTACATCAAATCGCATAATTCCATACATTTTTACTTTGCATTTATCTGCGGCAACCCGCCGCCCTACGCCCAACCACTCATCATGGCATTTGGTATGCAAAACACGTCTCTTAAGTGCATTAATGGGTCTATTTACCGAGCTGGTGGTCAGCATTAGTGTGTTCTGACAGTTTGTCTGTCTCATGCCGCTTGGCCGTTGGAATTTTAATGAGTTTTGCCATAATTGTTGGTAACATTAATTTTTATTACTTATACGGCAATGTTTACCTTAGCAAAGAAGATACATATATGTATGTATGTGTGTAAGTATACAGTAATACGTAGTTAGCCTAAAAATACCCGTAGTTATGGCGAATGTAGGAAATGAAGAGGCGGAAGCATCATATTTATGTATGGTTGTACTGCAAACCTGTTTAAATACATGGCGACGTTGTATAAGGACAGGAAGACAGTGGAAAAGGAGAAATGGCCTGAATTGTTTTCTAAGACTTCCGATTACATATTTAAATTAAAAAATGGAATGAAATCAAAAAATATAATAAAAAATGGAAGGGAATAAAGTGAAATAGAACAAAAATAAATGTAAGAAAAAAAAAAAAAAATTAAGTACAAAATAGTAATTTAAAATAAAAATTAAATAATATAATTTTGGGTATGTGAAAAAAAATGTTTTTTTATTAAATTTTGGGACAAGGCTGTTGCTTAACATAGACCTGTGACCTTCTAAACCCTTTTGTGGTGGGCGTTAATAAAATCTAAAGCCTGCCGCGCAAGTTTTATCAATGCTTAATATTTAAGACGTGCTTAGTGTAAAAATTAATTGCTAAATCGTAGCTGAGTGGATTGTCTTTACGTTTATACTCAAGCATGCAATTATTTATTTTTTTACTATATTTTTAATTATTTTATATTGTGTACAATTTCTTCAAGTTTTATACAATTAGGCTCCATTTTGGTAATTATTCCATGTTTTTTCTTTTATCTTCCCTCTTCGCCCAGCAATGACATAATGGAACCGATGACCGCATTGGTTTTGGCCTTCCAACTGTTGGCACTATTCTCCATCGCCGGCGCGCTGCTCATCTACCTGATATGCAAGGTGCGCGACGACACTGCCGAAGTGGCTGAGTCCCAACCGGGCACAGTGCTCGTGACCAGCGCTGACACCGCGCTAGGCCTGCAGCTTTGCACCCATCTGGCCAACAAGGGCTGTCGCGTGTTCGCCGGCATGCGCGATGCGCAAGACTCACTGCCCGCCAAGCTGCTCAATGGTTGGCTGAAGATGCGCGAGTATAACGAGGAGCCAGTGCGCGGCGCTATCATACCCATGCAGTTGGATGTGACGCGCGAAGATGTGCTGCGCGAAACTACCAGCGCAATGGGCGCGCACATGAACGCGGGCGAGCGCGGCATAGCGGCGGTAATCAATACGAGCGGCAGCCTCTTTCGCGGACGCGTCGAAGTGCAGGAGGCGCAGCAATGGGAGCATATGCTGAAAACGAATATATTGGGCTCGTTGCGCGTGGCCAAAGCGTTTGTGGGCTTCTTGCGCCCGACTAGGGGGCGGCTCATCTATTTGGGCGCCGGCGCCGGTCAGGGTAGCGGTGACGGTTTGGTGGCATTCAATGCATCGCGCGCCGCTGTGGAAAAGTGTGTGGACGAGCTGCGCAAAGAGTTGCAACCGTATGGTGTGAGAGTGGTGGCGCTGGACACAACTGGTTTAACAGCAGAGGCACTGTACAAGGCGCCGGTGCCGCACAGTGAGTAGTAATGGCGCTTGGTAATTTTTATGCAAGTAACGGTTTGTTTTTTATTTATTAATAGCCGACGCGGGGAGTGAGGGCGCACCGACACAGTACACAGCGGATGTGCTGAGCGCGAATGCCTTGCAGGTGATTGAGCGCGCGTTGTGGGATGTGGTGCCCCTGGAACGCTACCAACTGGTGCAAAATAGTAAACTGAATTTCATGTTGCCATGTCGTTCATCCTTGCGTATGACGAAATTGGGTGCAGGTGTCAGCCGCGGCGTGCAGCGGGTTTGAGGGATGAGGCACGAAATAAACAACGGTTGTTACGTGAGCTGAAAGCACAATGCGGGAAGCACGAAGGAAAGATATGCTAGCGCGTATTGGATAACAATATTTGGGGACACTCCAAAAATTTGCTTTGAACAAATATACAGTTCTATATAATTTTTCGATTTAAGAAAATACAAAGTTTACATGGAAACTGCGGTAAAATTTTTTTTAAACAAAAAATATTGCACAAAATTTTACACTTTTTTTCAGAGTTGAATGAAAAACCAATTAACAGCTAGTTATTCTTAATTAGTAAGAATAATTTGAGGTTATTTTGGTTGTATGTGCGAAATTTACAAAATTATGTACGCTAGGTCATAGCACTTCCCATGTAAACTGTCGTTTTATATTTTTATTAATATATACATATACATATACATATATAGTTATACATATGTATGTAAAGTGCAACTTTGCTTTGTAAATAATGAAACTTATAATTATATATTTTGCTGCAAATTTTATTATATTATTATTTGTTACTAAAAAATAAAATCGGCTGCCAAAATTACTAACTTTTACAAAATTGCTTTCGCAAGGCAATAAGACACTGCTTAAAACATAACTTTTTGTAGAATAAAAATTTCAAATTCGATAAGGCCAATGCAGACCATGCCATGTAGGAACTCGTTGTGTAAAAACGTTTATTCATATTTCGAGATGAAATCGTAGCGCAACACTGAAGCGCGATACACATCGCCCACGACGGCGTTTGGCTTACTCGCTGTGCGTCCGGGCAAATTTACGAGCACATCAGCGCCGACAATGCTCTGCAGTCGGCTGCTCATCTACAAATAAAAGACATCAGCTGCACATAGAATGATGCAAAGGCGCCTAATATTTACCTGACTGCCGTTGACCGTGGCGTATAACCGCCCATTCTTGTTAGTCACCGCAGCGCGCACATATTCCGGGCGCGGATCAAGCGCTATGCTATCATTCTGCAACTAAAAACAAAATATCGTTGAAAAACAACAAAAGAATATATGTATTATACATAAATTTGATTGGCCAAAACAAAAGCTAGGCAAATACAACACTTGCAATAAAAGGCGCAATTAGTAAATTATTCGGCAGGCTGATAACGCATACTTGAGATATTGATTTTCTTTTAGTTATACGCTAACAAATACGTAACACTTCCTATCCCTTACAGTTATTGGTAGCGAGGCCAATTCGCACTTATCACGCGGCCAGCCGGCAAACCAGCGTATAGCCGGCAATACAAACAAATGAAACGTGACGAATGCGGAAACCGGATTGCCTGGCAGCCCGAAGAAGTAATTCTCCTTTTTGGAAGCGAAGGTCATTGGCTTTCTAAAAGAGTAAGAAACCTTAAAATACACGTTTAGTGAGGTTAAATCAGTACTAACCCCGGTTTCATGTTGACGCGTCCAAAATTGATGGTGAAGCCCAAACTTTTCAGTGCCGGCTTGATGTAGTCCTTATCGCCCATGGAAACGCCACCGCTGCAGATGATGAAGTCTACGTGTTTGTATAACTCTGCGATTTTGCCTTTAATAGTCTCCAAGCTGAAAGCAGTAAACTTTTTACACCAATTTCACCACAAAATTGTTGGCGTGCAATGTGCTTACTCATCGCTAAGTACCAGTTTGTGTGCGCATTCGAAACCGAAATATTGTAACAGCTCCGCCAGCATAGTTGTATTCGAATCGTAAATTTTGTCCATCTCCTCGGCTTGTTCGGGCGCTAACAGTTCACTGCCAGTGGAGATTATGCCAATTTTCGGTTTGCGCACACCGCCCAAGTTCTTGCCCACCGATGAGAGTACCGATTTAATAACTACTGCTGAGTGATCAACCAAGGGGAACAGTTTGCTGCCTTTGCGTAGATCTGAGCCAACGGCGCTGTAATTAAAAGGGTTTTTAAAAGCTGAAAGTAAGCTGCAATTGCTAATTTACCGTATATCGAGGTTTGCTTTTGGTTCTATCAAAATTTCAACTAAATCCTCTTCGCCAGTCTTCTTCCGCTTCAGCAATTTAGTGTCCTCCACTTGCACAACACAATCGGCGTAATGCGGCACTGGCGCGCCTGTGTTGATTTTGTAGCATTCATCCTCCTCTAAATCGTGCACTATTATCTGCAGTAAGACCGAGTTTTAAAAGCGCAACACACCTAAAAATGGTATATAAAAGCATACCTCATCCCCGGCTGCTATGTAGCCCAGCACTTTTTTCGTGCCGGAGAAGCCTGTAGATTTCATAGCATAGCCATCTTTGATGGATGCACGAAACGGTGGTATATTCACTGGTGACAAAAAATCATTGAGCAGCTGGGCGACTGCGCGTTGTTGTTGCACTGTTTGAAATATTATCTCTAGTGCTTGCACTATCGGTATCATTGGAAAGGGTGAATTTCTATCGCTATCATCACCTTTACCAGTTTTATGTGGACAGATGTGCCCGCTTGTTGGCGCAATATCATTACTCCCCTGCAATTCGGCATGTACTCGTCGCACAAGCGGCAACTCGTTGCCAATTAATTGCAACGCATGTGGAAATAGTTCACGCACCACTTCGAAGCATTCCGATACTGCTTTTTCACTGCCCGGGAAGTTAAGTATCAATGTGCTACCCGCAATACCACAAACACCACGCGTTAATGCGGCAAAATGCGTTTTTTGCAGTGACGCTTGCGCAATATATTGTGCTAGTTGTGGACACTCTTTGTCAAGCAAAATTTTTGTTGCTTCTGGTGTGACGTCACGTGGCGCAAAGCCGGTGCCCCCCGTGGTAATAATTGCACTCACACTCGGTGACTTCTGCGCAATGAGTTCACGAAGTTTATCGCTAATTTGTTCACGTTCGTCAGGTAATATTGCTGTAATGATGTGCACATTTTGAAAGGCATCGCATATGAGCTTAACCAAACGTGGGCCACTGCTATCCTGCCCTGCGTCTTGACTACAGGTGTCGCTAACTGTGAAGAAATTAATTGATTTAACAAAGTTAAACTCAAATTCATAATAGTAGCCTCACTCGTTAAAACAGCGAAAACAATTTCATCAGCCATCTTCACGCTTTGACGATTGCGTCTTCAATGCTTCTCCAGATAGTGGAGCAACTTGAACAATTTAAGCAAATAGGAAAAATTAAAAACAATAATAACACGAAAATAAATTACTAAAAATAAAGAACAGCGATAAAAGAGTCAAAGATAACGAAATGACAGCGCTTCGTTCTTATCTAGCAACGTCAGCAGAGAAAAGCCGGTTGTTGCGCTGCTTTCACGCTAGTTGTTTTAAAATACAACAGAGCATACTAAAATAATTTAAAATAACGTAAAATTTTTGGTTTTTATAAATCTTCTTTTAATTCAAAGATGTTGAAATACTTTGGTTTTTGCTTTTTATATTTATAAAATGTTTAAAAAGTATTTACATGCAACCCAGTTTTACTTCTTCTATATTTCTTCCTTCTCATATTCTATTTTGACATTGAATTGTTTGTCGATCAGCTGTTCCTCACTAAAGTGTGAAAATTTTAAATAATTTATAAATTTTTAAGTTAAACACAAATTTATTTATAATGAGTGATCATAGTTCATACGATAATGTGCCAAAAACTGAGGTTAGAGCTAATTATAAGTTATCCAATAAATTCTATAATAATATTCATATTCTCTTCGTAGCAATCACCGCCACCGCAGCTCAATACATCCAACATTAACAGCTCTAACACCCTTAATAATGTTACCACAAATGCTCCGGCAACAATTGAAAAGGAGCTAACACCAGGGCGTTGCAATCTACAAAATTGGCTGGGCCACCCATTTCGTGTTGTTATAACTGATGGACGAGTGCTTGTTGGTTACTTCAATTGCACCGATAAGGATGCCAATGTTGTGTTGTCAATGTGCGCCGAATATCTAGAGGAAGGAAAAGATGCGCGCATACTTGGTAATGTTATGATACCAGGCAAGCATATTGTTTCCATTGCCGTGGATATGCCCAAAGATACCGCATTCGCACTTAAACCGAATACACCGTCAGCACCTGAAGCACTTTAAAGCTAGCTTAAAAATTATCCACAAGTCAATATTTAGTAATTTATATATACACAATTTAAGTGAGAACTTTTATTTATTTTAACATTAGCAAGCGTAAATTAAATTTAACTAAGAACTATGACTGTTTTTGTGCTGTTCCTTTGTTTTTCTCTTCGAGTGGGTCATATCCCTTTTCCATGCGTTCCTTAAATTGTTCGTAAGTACGTTTGCGATCAAAATGTTTCACCCATTGGCGAGGACACGATCCTTCGAAAGCTTTGCGCAACTTTTGACAAACGTCTGGCACCTTTTCACCACTTGTGGAGCTGTGTTTTGGAGCGTTCTCATTCAAGCACTCCCAGTATTCATCGCGTGAAGCCCAACAACGTGTACGTTCCTCTTTGGTGGGAAAACTCATAGTTTTTTGATTTTTATAGTTTTGTTAGAAAATAGTATGAATTAAACTTAGCTCGCCTATAACCGCAATCGGCAGTGACATAACCTAGCAACTGTCAGTACATCAGCTGATTGGAGATTACGGAGAAGGAGACAAAACAAAATAGTAAACATTGGGGTGACAGAGGGCTTAAATTAAAAAAGTACTATTAAGTTGAGGTAACTATTGTTTATTTAAGAAATATAAAAATATCAGTTAAAAGAATATAAATATTATACAGCATTTGAAAATGGTAAATTTCGTCTTAAATGACCGAAAATCAATGAGAAATGTTAACTTGTTTAAAAGGACACTATTATATAGTTATAATTGCACAACTGCAAACGCCGCCACACGCAACAAAGCAGCGCGCGAAGTGGATACAATACTGCACATACATATATATATACATATATTTATGATTTAAATATATATGTATATACATTTGCAATAAAAACATTACAGTCTATCTTAATGAGTATATATAAAATATGGACGTTACTCTTGAGATTCGTATCACATTAGCAGTAAGCCCATTTCATCATCACAAAGCCACTTGTTTCACTTGTCCGCTGCCATGATCGGGTAATAGATGTTTTGCACTGCCGACACAAGTCTTCTTCAACGATTTTTCCGGAGGCCTTTTGTTACATTCATCGAAGTAGCACTTTTCAACGTTGTGTAAAAATTCAACAAGCATTTTATTATCACCTCCATTGGGTCCAACAAAGTATTCACACTCATAGCTGCTCTGGCTCTTCAGATCGCGTACGCAACAATCCATAAACTCCGCATTAGCTGAGTACCATGCATTTAAATGTTGCATCGATATATTTAACTTTTCACGCAAAATACCCGTAACCCAAGTGTCATCAATCCAGAAAAACGGTGTTTGCTGTGCCTGCTTCACCAATCGCAAAGCTGTTGCTGGATTAGTAATATACAGCCAGCCCGAGAGGTAGGCGGGATAAGTGGTTCTAGGCCATTCATGTTCGGAAACGAACCATTTATTGGCAATATTACGTACAGGTGGTCTAGCATTGAGCACATAACCGGCCAAATATGCTTGTGAAGCAATTAAAGTTGGTTGTTGCACTTCAAGTGACTCCAAGTAGCGACGAAAGTGGAATACGTCGTATATAATATCATCATCTATTTTTATGATAAATTTGGCATTGGGACAATCGGTGGCAGCCCATCGCAAGCCCATCACATGTTTATAGCTCAGATTGCGATAGGCTTCCTGAAAGTTGCCTTGCAATATGTCTCCAAAACGTTGTTGTTCATCTAGCACTTGCTTTTGTGTTATATATTTTTCCTTAGCTGGCAATGCAGCTAGCAGGAAGATGCGTTGCATTCCCATTTCTGCTAGTTTGCTTTGAGGTGCTGCTAAACGATGTGCAGCGCGCAACTCGTCATGACCAGCATAAGATGTCACAATAATGATGGCTATGAGTAATAATTAGCAAATTAAAAGAATTATTGTTATATTATGTTGAGTGTTACTTACCCAACAGCCCTTTATCATTCTTGCGACAGCCATTATTTGATATTTTATACTTAAAGTCCGTTAAATTCACTAATCGATTTAGTTTTAAATCAGTTTCAATGTTTTGCGGTGATGCCTGCTCCTGTGACACGTCCTTTTCCAGCGGAGGCAAGTGCGTCAAGAATTCGTCTCTTTTCGCATTAGGAGCAAAGTAATCTATGCAAACTAGCAATATAATCACTGCAACTACGATAAGAGTTAAACATTTATAAGCAATACGACCGCGCAAACGCATTTTAATACATTTTATTCTAAAAACTCAAATGAAATATGTAAATAAACTTTCTGTCAACAGCAATGTAAACAATTACAGCTGCCGCGGAATTACCAACAACACTTCACATTCACGATAGGGCAAAGTGGTAAAAATAATTGTGAATGATAGACTTATTGGAGGAATTTCCAAATTATATCTGAGTGCTGAGGCATTTCTGATTGGAATTTTATGGTTTTTTGTTCTTTTTTGACTCTCTGTCATCTCGATTTCTGCAAAAAGTTGACGGCACGTGCATTACCTTTTCGGGTGCTTTATTGCATTTTGTTGGTGCAGTTGTTTGTTTCCATCAATAAATTGTGTGTAATTACAAACAAAGCGTGCTAAAAAAATTGTGAATCAGTGAAAATAGTGAATTTAAAATTTAAGTGGAACTGAAATATAAAGTGTGAAAATGGGAAAGAATAGCAAAAATAAAAATAATAAATCGGCCAGTAATAAGAATCAGTCAGCAGCTAATGTCACCACCCACGCACACGATGCACAGTCATCTACAAAACAACAGCAAAAACAACAGGCGCCAATTAAACGACCCACGCTAACGCTACAAAAGCGCAACGAATTGAGTTCACTCATCAATGCATTGCTCGAAATAGGTTTTAAACAGCCCGCAAACCCTAAAGAAGAATGGGATCAATATTTAGAAATCCAAACACTGTTGCACCGTGTGCAAATACTTGAAGCACCACTGCGCCGCACCAGCGCCAATCCAACTACAGAAGCGCGTTTGGCAAACATTGAAAATTTCTATCGTTGGGCCACTGAAAATGGTTTGCGTTTTGATGGCGTGCGCATAGCACAGTTTCAAGGCTATGAGTTGGGCTTGGAGGCTACACGCGATATAGCCGAAGAGGAAGTGCTTTTTAGTATACCGCGCAAGCTTATACTCTCCGAGGAAAATATGGATTTAGATTATAGTCCAACACAATTCGGCTCGATGTCGAATCTAAAATTGTCGTATGTGTTAATGTTGGAGGCTTTGAAACCAGATAGCTTTTGGAAACCCTACATCGATTTGTTGCCGGAGAGATATAATACTGTACTATATTTTACAACCAAAGAAATGGAAATGCTGCGTGGCTCAAATGCTTTAACTGCGGCGTTGCGTCAGTGCAAAGCAATTGCGCGTCAATATGCGTTCCTCTACAACTGCACCGTGAAAGCGTCGCGTGCAGATAAATTCAACTCAATGGGACAGACTTTTAAGGAACAGTTCAACTATGATTTGTATCGGTGAGTGCGAAACTAATTTTTTACTGTGTCTAGATAAACGAATTGTAATATTTTTTTAGACATAATATGTTTTTTATTAAGTTTGAACTTGTTTTTCGTATTAAATAGGAGCTAACTCTAGCATTAGTGTATGAAGGGATTAGTATAGTAGCCAACTGTTAGAAAGTAGGGTTATTTTACAATTTGAATACAAAATCAATTAAATTTAGGAACAGCACTAATGATTTAATGATGTATTTGAAAATTAAGTGTAACGAATTACAAAATTCAAGTATTCAAAATAAATTTGTTGAGGTTATGTCCTTTTTGTTGTTGTTGCATTTTGAAGTTCAGTTCAGTTGATTGCTTTTGCCTTACCGTTGCTTGCCAAAAAACACGTTTAATTATGATTTTTTTTTATTAAAAGTATACTTTTTATTTATTATTTATATCAGTATAATATCATTGGGGTAGAGGAAGTGGTATAATCTAGTTAAGTATATAATACACATTTTGTAAAACCGCTTATGTATAGATTTGAAAGTTTTCAACTAAACATATTGTGGCTAGTCGCTCTAGTTTTTAAAACTACAAATTTAAGATATTATGCAGTTTACAATCGCATAGTTTTTATAAATAAAAATTAAGTTAACTTTTTTTAAGCAAAGAAACTACTATATAAGTAGTTTCTATTGCTTAATTTTTACTTTTGTGTATAAAATGTTATTATTTTTCGTGTTTTAGTTTTCAAAACGATTTCAAGTCTGTAAACTCTAATTTTGGGTTGTGCATCAAATATTTCCTTGGCGTTTTTGTCGACAATGGGTTTTTCTAAAACTTTTATAGATTATTGTCATTAAAAACATTACTTGTTTTATACTTATGGTTTGGTTTCGCTAAATACGATTTTATAATACTATTTATAATTTTTAATTAATGTTTTTCATTCAAATTCCTTTTATTAAAAAATTTTATTTTTTATTAAAGTTTTACTTTTTATCAATATTTTTTTTTATTAAAAATTTTTCACAATTTTTTCACGCCTTTTTAAGTTTATTTACGTTACCGTTATGTTGTCTTAAAACCCGCTTGTGTAACTATGCTAAACCAATTTCGAACTCTTACGCGCTAACTGGGGTAAAAATTGCGCTAATCTTAATTATAAGGTTTCAAAAATTTTTATACTTCAACTTGTTCTGCTTAAAAATTGTATGTTTTTCTTATTTTTAAACCTTTTAATATGCTACCAAAGAAATTTGTATGTTCTACGCACTACGCATAAAAGTTGGTTGCTTCTTAGGGTTATTCATTTTCTTTGTTATAAAAGTGTTATAATTTACAAATTCTCACCGTTCTCTGCACTTTTTTTTACATAATCGCTTTAAGCCTATTTTCTTGTATTTCTATGTTTGGCAACATGTTTCGTATTTGTCCCTCCATTTTCAAAATTTTTTAAATAATTTGCAGTTTACAAATATTCAAAATTACCAAAATCTTTAATTCCCTCGCGCAAAAATCAAATAAAACCTTGCGTTGATTTAGTAAGACTTTCGCAACGCATCGAACAGATACTCCTGCACCTCGGGGGAGTTCGGATCCATTGTGTTGAGTTTGTTTGTAGAACTGTTGTGCACGCTCTGCAACGACAGCGCCAGCGATGTTGTGGAGCCGGTAGCGCTGCCCATACCACCGTTGTTGCCTAAACTACCACGCGTCGCACCGCGCATAACTCTGCTACGTCTGCCGCCGCCGCTTAGCTCTTCCACATCTATGCTGCCGCTGCCCGAGTGTTGTGGGAACAGTAATGAAGTTTGCCGCTGCAGCTGGTGTACCGGTGACACCGACACCGTGGACACGCCGCCGACCAGCTCTTCCATGTTCCGCAAGGAGGAGCGATGCGACGAGTTCGTTATGGTCGGTAATTTACTCTTCATAGCATTGTATGTCTTTGTGTAGCTGGTTTTGCGTTGACGCCGCTGCTTCCAGCGACACACCACAAATATAACCATGAAGGTGGCGAGCGAGGTGAGCACAATCGCCGCGCTGGCTACAATGGCAGAGCGTATGCCCGCCGGCATATTGCTGTAGATGCTATTTTGGCTCGTCGCTATAGAGACCGCCGCTGCGGCGGGGCTGCGCTTGAAACCATGGCCGGACAGCTCGAGATCGATCAAGTCATGCGCACGCGCTACTTCATTCTCGATGACTTCCGCGGTGTCGATGATGCTGGCACTCTGTAGCTGCGTGGCGGTAAGCTCCTGCTGTTGTGGCGGCTCAGCGTTTATGTTGGTATTTGTTTCGTTGTCCATTAAAAAATCGCTCTCATCCAGTTCGGCGGAGGTGTTCTCGAGCAGCATTTGTGGTGGTGACAAAAAGAAGGGGTTGCGCTTGGTAGACGCATCGCTGCGCGCACTGCTGGCGAGTGAGGCTAGCGCCAAGGTTTTCCAAGAGGGGAAGAAACCAACTGATTTTTCCGTGCGTTGCGATTGTTGATGGTTGGCCGAACCTGTGAGATGAAAGAAATATATATGGAAATGAAATTTACGCTCGGGCGTCAAAACGCTAAAGAAATTCAGAATTACAAAGCGCGCACTTACATGATTTGTGGCAAGCTGCTGAGGCTGTGGCAGCCGCTAGTTGTATACGCCTAAGCGTGCATGCTGTCGTGCCGAGACAATGTATAAAAGTAAACTTTATGCTTGCTTCCACTACGAACTCAGCAGCTCACCACAAATCTTGTTCGGCATAAGCGCAGCGCGCTGTTCTATTGCCATTTGCGCCGCCTATCGCGTGCGTTGTATTGATAGCGCGTCGCGCCGCGATACTGTCGTCGTCCGCGTTCTAAGCGATTACGTGCGTACACACCTTTGCCAGCAGCGGTTTCGTCTTTGTAGATCTCGTCCGTCGGCTCGATGTCAATAATGGATGTAAAGTAGCTGGCGCCCTGCGAGTCCGTCTTTATGTCATCTGGTTTGACGCTTTTCAAGTCCATCAGGTTGAAGTGTGGAAAATTCTCAAACGCTGTAACAATATCCATATTGTCGTGAAGAACGACCTTCTGTCCGGGAAAAAATCGCGAGCGATTTTGCACAACCGTCGCCAAGTGCAATTGGCTCGAACCACGTTTGCGGTGTTCAATAAGCTCCTCGAGCGTCATGTTGCGCTGTTCCAGAACTTTAAAGAGCCGGTTGCCGGATCGCCTATCTTCAATTAATTCTAGCAGATCGGTTCGATCGTCCACGCCATCGAAATCGGGCACGGTGTCTTGATAAGCAAACGTTTCGCCGGCCATAGCTGGCTTCACGTGATCGATGCGAGGCGTTATGTTTTCTACGTCTGCTTTGCTTGTCTTCTCGCGCTGTCTACTAACCGTGGTTTGAGCGCCAATAAAGTTCTCGAGACCGTCGCCGTGGGCGTCTGCGTTCGTTGAGTGCGCACGGGTCTCCTCCGACTCTATAGAGTTCGTTTTGAAGTTGGGCTGCGCGCGTGATGCTGGTTTCGAGATCGCGTTGCTTGTGCTCACGCGCGTTGTAGATTTTAACAGGCTTTTCGCCGTAGTTGAGACGAGTTTCGTTGTGGCGCTTCGTGTGGCGTTTGTTGTGCTGGGTGTGGTGATGGTGGTCGTTGTAGTTGTGGTGTCGGCGCGTGACGCATACTGTTCTTCGTAGTCGGCTTTGATGGTGGATTGCACATCGCTCTCTTCCTCATCGCGCAGGTACTCTTCCTCCTGCTGTTCCTCGGTATCTGTCGTATCCTCTGCCGCGCCTGCCTTCTCCACAGATTTGGCGTCCGCAACAAATTCCTGTGCCGTCTCCTGTTCCTCTTCATTGGCCACCTCTGTGGGCTCTCTATACCTATTGTTGATTATAGTTGTTGTCAACTTTTCTTCAAAAATTGGTTTATCATTTGCTGTGGACTCCGCGCTAGTAGACTCAGAAGCCATAACATTCTTTAGCATAAAGGTCGGTTTTAGCGTTGAGCGCAACATTAAATTTTTCTTATAAATCGGTAGGCGCGTGGTAGTTGTTGTCGTCGTGTTTGCAACAGCTGTAGAGCTCACAGGCAGGCTCACACGTCTTGTTGTGCTACCTGTGACAGCGTGACCGTAATGCAACGTTGCTGCGCGTGTCGAGCTACCGAAATATTTGAGACGCTGTACTGTCCCTAGCTTCACTCTGCCTCGTTGTTGCGTGTCAGCGCTCTCAACCGAATCATCCGGTGTTGCACGCAGGTCGGCGCCCAAATAATCATCGGCAGCATGCGTTTGTTGTGTTGTAACGACAGGCCCATCCTTTATGCTACCGAGATAGGGCTGCCGACGCATCGGCTTAACCGGCTTGTTCTCCGCCAATTTAGTGGGCGAGGGTGATGGCGCTGCTGCTGTGCTCTGTAGCACTTCGAGCGCGTTCTGTTTGCCTTTCAGTAAATCGTCCAGCGACAAATTCTTTTGCTGCAATATCTCGCTCAAACTCAAGCCGCCAGCATTTTTGAGTATATGCTTTAGATCCACCGTCGTTTTGACATTTGACGCGGATGCATTGTCGCCTGTTGACACTTCAGCCTCCTTTTTAGCCTGTGAATAAGGACGGCGATAAGATTTATCGCGTGTGTTCGCATTTGGCGCGTTCTCCTGCCGTCGCTTGTCACGCATTTCGTACAATAGCTGTTCCTTCTCCAGCGCGGCATGCGGTTCGCGTATAGCTGGTTGCTTTCGCTTGCGACTGTTGGCGCGCGTGTCTTCACGTGTTTGGGTGGCAGCATTGTCTGCTGAGCTATCGTTGTCAACTCTACCCCGCCAGTATTGCTGTTGCGTGCCGTCATCGTTAGCGCTCGTGGGGCGCCGCGTGCGTGTGCGACTTGTGCTGGCCGTTTGTCGACGTCGTGGAGTTGCGGGTAATATGCCAGAGGTGTCGCCGTAGTAAGGATAGTTTGTGGGCTCGTTTAACTGGGTTTCGTCGCCGACAACCAGCGAAGCCCCGGCGCGTACAATCTGCAAGTGTATAGAGAGGAAACGGAAGTTAAAATCGTTTGTAAAACATTTGGTTTGCGTGAAAACTTTTGTATGTAAAAATTTTAAAAGCGCTAGATCCTAATACAAGGAATATAGATACTAAATGTCTATTTAACTCATACAGATGATACTGGAATAAAAATCAAAGGGCTCATGGCTCAGTTCAACATTTTGATCTCTGTAGAGTGGACTCTGACTTATTTTTGACAACCCCTGTATTATGCTTACTAACTATCTATCCATCTTTACGATCCGATTCCGTCGAAAGAAATCACTTTCTGGACTGGCTGAACCCTAGAGGTAAGAATTTGTGGTCATCTCTCCCTCTTGAGGAATTATACCCAAATGATCCACTGTTGCTAACCCTAGCTTCAAGTTTACTGTTGAGCAGCTGTTCGGTTGGTATTTTTTAAAACGGTTTGTTCCATGTTCCTTGGTTGAAATGAGAGAGTAAGAGAGAGGTAGAGATGCTTTTTTCAAAAACCAAGAGAGAGAGCTCAAACTAGTGCAGCAGCTATGACTGAGATACATCTCTGGTTACTAAAGTCGATCCAAAGTATTGCAATTTTGATATGAAAGAGAGATAGACGCTTTTTCGAAAAGCTGAAGAGAAAGCTCAAAGCATCTCAGAAGCGTGGCCATCAGCCTTCTTAAGTCTGTTGTGGGTTTTTTTTGGTTGTCAGTCTATAAAGTTAATTTTATATTTAACCGAGGAATGCAGAAGCTTAAAGTGTCAATTCTGTAAATGCAGGGTTGCATTTGCTCATTAAAATCGTTTTAATTAACGTGCATTCAATTCAAGTATGTACAACACAATAGTCTATACACAACTTTAGCTTTAGCTTAGATTAAAATAATACTATCCACCCTTCCGCTCCCCACACCCCCATATGTATGTGCTCTATTTACCATTCACTGCATTTCAAAGGGCTTTTGTACTCCCTCCATTCTATTATTCGATATCTATAACACATCTTCGGTAACACTTTACAGCTTCCGTCTGCCTTTCACAACCCTTCCGCGCACAGCCGCACACATCCTCCAACAATTGTGTATTGAAGTGTGAATATGAAATGCACTTAACTGCTTGTTGATTGATTGAGTCGCTACGCATAGTCAAAACCCGACATCCCTGCACACCCCTTCGCCGCTGCCCCGAACCGTTTGTGCTTGTCTATTGGAGAATTGACTGCGGAAGTGCGGCAACACAACAAATTAAGCGTTTGCTGCCACACATACTGAAAATTACATAAATAAGAGCAATGCTGGCGCGCAAGAGCCTTAGAGCTCGCCTATGCGCTCAGCTGCACGCTCTCCTCTTTATTCCGGCGGTACTTAGACTTTTTACTGTGAGCTCAAATACTTTAGCAACTCAACGCTTATTCCTTTTATACTTAACACAGAATATTGGAAATACATTTCCGCAATTTCCCGCGGGTATTATGTGCGCCCATAACCTCTCGCGTCCTGTGCCATTTGAGCTCATTTGTTTTTCCATTCCGGCGCTGCAGTTTTTTGCTATCTTGTTAGAAGTTGATAATCGTTACATCATATTATTGTTTGCTTTGTGCCGCTCCGGCATTGATAGCTGAATCCTCAGGCCACCCTGCAGCGGGCTAAACTTACATACACTTGAAACATTGCCATTCAAGTGGAACAGCAGCGCCATTGACCTGTGCACTTAAGCAGAATTTGCTTATGATTACTTTGCCTCCAAGCTGCTTGAGGTAACCACTGCTAGCTAAGTGTAAGGGGCCTCAGTGCATGATGGGTTGTTAATGGCTGTCTGCCCGGCTAAAGTCATAACTCAAAATGTTCGATATGTTTTTGTTTGGCGCGGAACAAAGTGATTTGCATGTAAAAAGTCCCTTAAGTAGTGAGCGGAGGAGAGCGAGCATCGTGCAGTAAATGTTGCAAAGTATGAGTGTGCTTTCAGAGCTCCAGGGAAATTGTTATAGATTGGCTTGAAGTAGCGCTATTTCATTTCGAAGATTTACTAAACTAGCCATTATCGAAATGCTAGCATAAATAATGTTTTCCGTCGTTTATACATAATAATGGCACAATGACCCTTTGTAGTAAATCAACGGAATTTTAATACCTTCATTTTTCCCGGAATAGTGTTTTTGAGTTCGCAAGAGCGTCGTTTTATTATTATTTTCCAGGAAAAATGCAGAAAAGCTAATTTCGGAAAAAGAAAACAAAAATAACTATGTTATTCTATGTTTTGCTATGTTATGCAAACATCATAGTATAAGTAGTTTTTTGTAATATATTGTATAAAAGAAAAAAAGTTTTTTATGCCACGCAATGCTATGTTATGCTATGCTATGTTATCGAAAGTAGTGTTATATATTATAAAAATAACAATAAAATCAAGGATAATAAGGTAATTCCTTATGTTATGCTATGCTATGTTATGTGGGATAGTCTCAGTTCTATGTTCTTTTTTAGATGTATGCTATTTTATATTTTTTAAGTTATACGTACTCCTATGCTACGTTATTTAAAATTTATTTCATACTTTTTTTTTAATTCTATGTTATGTTTTTATTTATATTATTATTTTTTTACAAAGATGTGTTTATTTTTGATGTTAATTATGAATATTTGGATTAATTTCGATTTTTTTTTTAATTCTCTGCTATGCTTTGTTATTTGCTTTTTTACGTAAATTATACAAATTTCAACCAATTTTTATTTTTTATTTATTTATTTTTCTTTGAATTTTTTACTATTTTTTTATATACAATTTTTTTACTCCTATGCTACGTTGCCGATGTGTGCTATCCAATTTTCAAGCTCTGATTCTCAATTACATACACTATTAAGCTCTTCCGTTTTAAAATGCAATGATTTATTAGTTATTGCGCAATATTAATGCTTGTCAAATTTGTTATTGCAATAGTATTTTATTTTTTATTTTTCTTATTGTGCCTTATAATATTTACATCCGATTTTATTCACACATACAACGTTGAAAAAGTTATGCGCTGTCAAATGCACTCAATTCGTATTTTCTCTCAATCACGCCAATCAATCAATCATTGCAATTGCAACGCTGCGTTGATAGCTGGGGTTAACGCGCTCGCCGCATGTATAAACTAGAAACGGCATTTTCAGTAAGTGGTTACTACAACAAAGCGAAAAGAAAGCCCTGCGAAAGCGGCGAAATAAAATTTAAAAAAGTATTAAGCAAACTTTACGGTTTTTTGCGCCGCGCCGTGCTGCCTGCCTGCAGTTTGGTTTTACATTCGGTAAAATTGAATTTCGCTTGCCATTGCATACAAATATTGTTGCAGCAACAAATCAAATATTGGTTGTTTACGCCGACTCTTGACTTTACTATTTGCTTGTGTATGTGTATGTTCGCGCATCGTTGGCATTTTGAGTGTCGATGACATTTACGACACGCAGAGTTGATGCTGCAATTTTTTTCGCTATTTTTCTTTTTCGCGGAGCGTTAAGCAAGTGATTTAGTGTTGTGTTTAAAAAATCGTACACTTTTTATTTCAATTTCATTTCACACATAAAAGTCAATGTTTTGTGTTTGCTGTTCGCTTTTTGTTTGTGTAAAAATTGAAGCGAGTATTTATGACCTGATTGATGGCGCAGTTCTTGACACTTGTGCGTCGTTTGCTCTGTCACATTTTAAGCGTATAAAGTACTCGTTCGGTTTTTATGATAAGACTTTTACTGGACGAAACAAATTTTATGTCTCCATAACTGCACTGTTATACTCACGCAGGTGTGCGTGCATGTGTGGTCAAGCATGTGCGGTTTGACGTCAGCAACCATCAATCAGAGCTTGGAATTTTTGCGCTCAAAATTAATGAAGTGAGTGTCAATAAAAGTGAACTGTACAGAAAAACAGAAAAAAAAAATATAAAAAATAGCAAAAACCAATGTTAACTAGCCATCGTGTGAACGAGTAATAATAATTAGCGCATATCTGTTGTAAACACCTTGTAATGTTTTGCTGTTTCAGTACATCGATAATCACAAGGATTGCGACAGTTTCGTTCCGTTATAGTTGTTGAAAGTAAACTAGAGGTATTACTCTGATAATTTAATGCGAATTCAGATTTTTGAATTTTCACTCGCTTTTTACTTCAAAATTCCGAGCGAATTCAGGTTTCTAACATTTCATCGGAATTTTGACGGCACAATTTAGAGCGAATTAAGGTATTTGATATTAAATCGGTATTTTTATTTTACAATTAAATTTCAGGGCGAACTCAGACTTTTGACATAACAGTCTGGTATGAATTCAAATATATTCAAATTTAATTGACCAGACTACATAAGGCGAATTCAGATTTTTAGCATTTGAAACTCACTTTGTCCTACAAATCTCGAGCGAATTCAGATTTTAGATATTTCAATTGCACTTTGACATGATAACCTATTACGAAATCAGATTTTTGAACTTTCGTCCACTCTTTAAATGGAAAATGTAGGTCTAATTCAGATTTTTCACTGTAAAACGAAATGAAAATTTCGGGCGAATTTTGATTCTTAACATACCAACCGCAATTTGACTTCACAATTTAAAGAAAATTCAGGTTTTTGACATTTAGTCCGCATTTTGACATCACAATTTAGGGCGAATTCAGATTTTTACCATTTCATTGGCAATCAACGTGAAAATCTATGACTTAATCAAACAATTTTTGACGCTTCTCTCGCACTTCAGGTTTTTGACATTTGTCTCGCGCTTTGATGTAGCATTCTAAGGCGGATTCAAGTTTTTGGTATTTAATAACATTGATTCGCTTTTTGTATGACTAACGAAAATTTAACAAAATTGAATGTCTTGATATTTTCAATTAGCATACAATGTCTGTTTAGCTGAACATTATGAGCAGAAGAGAACACTGAAGTGGGTATAAATTGTACACAGTAACAGTACGAAATTACAGAAAATTGTGTGTAAAAACGTAAATTAAAAAAAAAAAATCACTTTTATACTTTTTTTT